GCGTATTTTTTTGGAGAATAAGGGTGACAAACCAGCACACAGTCCATCTGATGGTAAGTGGATGTAGTGAAGTATAGATAAATATATCTATCGTCAATTAAGTATCAAAATGCAGATACGTTGTCACCCTGAGGATAATGATAGAGTGCTTCGTTTCTAATAATTGGGCTCTCTACACTCACCAAAACATAGCATATTTAAGTTGCTATTTTACACTACTATTCTATGAGAGTGTGATCATTCCCCAATCAAGCCGATCCATTCGTGCTACAACACTATTATCACTGCAGCGTTGCTATATTACGTGTAAACGTGGACTTTCCCCGCTTGAGTCGATCCATTCGTACTGTAGTACGGATGGGTCACCGATGATTGCAACTATAATTACTCACCTTCGCTTTGCCGACGGTATAGTTCATATGGCAGAATCGCTCGAATTTCTAAGCACTATGCTGATTGATCTCAATAGTGTCTTCCAACCGATAGGTCATAAGATGGATAAAACACTGGTAATGTTTAGGTTCCGTCCATGTCATACTTGTCGGTAGTTATTGGAAGCATTAGCACAGCAGGTGCTGGTGCAGGTGGTGCAAAATGCGTCATTGGAGCAGTTCTAATTCTCGGGTTGGATGGACTATCTGCATACATAATTAAATCTATATGGATTATTATATATAGCTTTTAGTTACGTATATCTGCTGTATGTAACAACTATAAACAAGCTGTAAGATTTAAAGTATTTCATTGAAGCACTTAAAGACTACAACGTAGCTGTGTTCTTTGTTTGAAATTAGTTTCAAGTATCTAGGAGCTCTAATAACTGTTGACCATAAGATGAACTGTCAGATCAGTTCGTATGTCTACTTATTAATTTATTGGGAGAAGTACAAGAAGTACACAAATATCGACACAAAGTACAAATATGAAGATACACCCGTGTAGTGGCGGTTTAAGAATATCTACTACTCCATGTCACCGGATGAGTTTCGTAAAAGACGACAGAGGTAAACAAATCCAAAGAGATAGGCAGCAGCGTCTTCCTAATAATGACCAAAACTAAAAACCTGCGGTTACCAACCCGCTTGCCAAGCGTGGCAATTGTGGCAAATACACCCCTCCTCCACCCCCCAAAAGGTAATCTACGGGGAGGCCTATGTTCAGCATTGGACTTATTTAATAGGCTGTAACCGTAACATTACCACACCTCTCAAAAGTATGATATCTAACTCATAATATTATAAAAGTATTACATTTAACTCAATACTTCAGTATTTTATTTTACTTATTATTATAACAGTGATCTTTTGCTCTATCTTCTGAAAGAGTAAACAATAGCCTCATTACTTGCTTCGAGATAAAAGATAATAAATGTAGGTATTCATGAGACCCACTTGTTGCAACAGCCCTAACAGCCCTCCCTGGAAACCATGGCAACTGCTCCCCAGGACCCCTTACCCATTCCACACGCCCGTCCGTCAGGCTCTAGTAAAGTTAAAAGCAACGAGAATGGCACGGGTCGCCAGTAATTACTCCACTTAAGCTTTCGACAGACGGAAATTGCATGAAATATTGAAGTGATCCGCTATAATTGACCTAATTTCAATGTTCTGAAATATATCTGAAATCCATCATTTAGTATTTTTCATTAAAAATAGACAAGGACACTTATCAATCATTGGCATCGCTATCTAATATATAAAAATCAATTGCTGTCCGTTGGTATCGCAAAAAATCGAAAATGGCTGGACCGGTTTTGATAAAACTTTTTTGTGCGCAATTGGGCCAGGTAGGTGGCGCTATTGTCGATATCCAAAAATCACATGTGCGCAGCTGGGGCGGATCGATAGTATATTATATTTTATTAAAAACGGCCCGACTGATTTAGATGAAATTTTTGTGTGCTTGAATGGGTCCCTAGATGGTTTAGTTTTACATTTGGACTCGGTAGGTGGCGCTGTTGTCGAGATCTAGAAATTACCCCTCCAAGACGAGGCGGATCGCTAGTATATAATACATATTGTAGACTTCGTTTGTGCATATTTAAGTACGAATTCTTATACACAAGTCATACTGTCAACTTGTGTATTATAACTTTTTGCCACGTCGAGTCTATCGTTTTTGTGCCCTATTGGTTTAGTGCTCGTATGTGCCACTTGGTCGTGTGGTCCCTGGGTTTAAATCCTGAGTCATATCGAAATCAATTGTTGGTTTTCTGTCAAGAAATGTTCAGTAGCAGTGCGAAGTAGATAAGTTAGAGGTGTTTCAACCTGGTGCCTCGGAACGCAAGTAAGGCCTTGCACACTCGTGCAGTATTAAATATTAATGCAGTACAGCAGTGCAGATGACTAATATCCGTTGAGACTGGCCACCGTGACCGAAATTCAGTCTGGAGGATGTTATTAACCCGAAACCCAAAAGCCCCCACACCCACCCTTAAAAAACCCCAAAAACAAACCCTCCCCCCTCCCCCCAAACCCCCACCCCCCCCCAACCCCCCCCCCCCCCTATATAAAAAATAAATAAAATAAAAAAAAAAAAAAAAAAAAATACTTTACTATGCATTAACGAATGTAATGAATATTAGTAAGTAAATAAAAAGATATTTTGTGATTATTACTCACATCATTTAAAAGTTAAGAGCTGTTTCCTAAAATGGCGCCCCCTCAAGTCTACCGCCCGGTGTCATGGGCCCCCTTTGCTACATCATTGAGATAACCTCATTCCCCGCAACCGCAATTATAAAGCAGATTTGTAGTAAAGTAAAGTTACAGCCTATATACGTCTCACAGCTGGGCAGAGGCCTCCTCTCATTTCTGAGAGGGTTTTGGGGCAAGGAATAGTCCGCCGCGCTGCCCCAATGCGTGTTGGCGAACTTCACATATCTTCGAAATATGTTTTCCTTCACCGCCGATCACGTGGTAAATCAGCGCTTAAAATTGCAATTAATAATTTCATTGGTGCCGGCGGGGACCCGGTTTGCTTGCGTATTGTGAAATTTACAGCGAGCGCTAACCATCTGAGCTACCACGGCTCTTATTAGTAGAATAAAAATAAATATACAGCTGGGACAATTTTAGAAAAAACAGCGTACTTTTTTGTCCTTGTGTTAAAGAGTAGTTTAATCCTTGTACTGGCCCAAGAGTATGAGAATATAAAAACTACGTTTTAGCACTGGCCGGCAGCGTTGCAGCAAAACGTTATGTATTGGGTATGGTATTATGAGATACTGATATTTTACAAAAATTTACCCCTGCGCAGGTGTTGACGGGTCACAATGGATTCGGTCAGTACCTGCATAGGTTTAAATGTAAAGATAACCCGCAGCCACCACCCCTACACTCCTACGGAGGCAGTTTACAAACATATTGCACAAGGACAAACAACAAAAAATACTTCAGTCTCATATGTGACCCTGATGTCGAAGAGGGGATAATACATTTAATAGTAAATTGTCCAAAATACACTTTAGCCAGAAATTAAATTAAATAAAAATAAAAGAAAGAGGTGACTGACGTCCCGATGTCAAAGTTAACCCGGAGTACCTTCAGCTTTTTAATTATTGTCTTTGGTCCGATCTACGCAGAAAGAACTAACTGTATTTTGAAGTATTGTGCTGGAAAGCACCCGAAACGTCGGGTATTAAAATTAATATAAATAAAACGCGATAAAATCCGTAAAAGTAGTTTTAATCAATGTAATAGTGTTCGCGTAAATGTAAGAAATCATTAAATAAAAGAAAGAGTTCGAAAAGATAATTTTTGGAAAATATTGAAATCAAACTAAAAAAAATTCGTTAACTACATATTTATGTAAGTTAGCCATATAGACTACAGCAAGTGGTGGCACTATTGGTTGCTAATTCTAAATCCAGAATGAAGGGCCATAAATTGTGGAGCGGTAGGGATCGTAACAAAATGGTTAAAGTGACTAGATTGCCCTTCGTATCCGGAGGGAAGGAACCACAAAATGGTGCGACCACAGGGTCTCGGGTTCGATTCCCGGAAACAATGGCCTGAAACCATTGGGTGCAGGAATTCCGAAAGTGGGCTGTATTTATCGTAGTTCACTATAACCAAAACAAAATGGTGGATGTGGCACGTGGCCGGTTGTGGACGATACACTCCGCTGTATCTAATTTACTATATCAGCTGGTATGGCAGAAGCATAAGCTGCTGTGGAAAAAAAACAACAAAAGAGAACAGCTCAAGATGGGAAAGGGCACTTACTTGGGCGTTGTTCTTCTGACACAGAGGACGACTGACACAGGGGTGCTATCATATCTAAGGACGAGCTTTAACTGCTCGAGCGGCGGTGGCACATCGACGACTATGGTCTGTGTCGGCGGCGTGTTTTCGACCTACTTCGTCATAAAATAGCCACCATGTCTAGCAGCTAGAAGGATTTTTACGCATTTTATGGACTTAGTAACCTTCTCTGTGATTCAGCAATTAATATATCCAACTTTTTGAAATACTCAGACTTAAATGGCTCGTCGTTCTCTTCTATATTTTGTCTGGCAGAGGAACAGTTGGCGCCATACGTCAAATTGTCAACGGCAGAAGACCAACCGACGACCGGCGGTAACCGCTCCTCACCCCCTCGTGTAAACGGCACGGGCTCCGATTTTTCGACTCGGTCTGACATCTCAGTGCGTGCGTCATAGAAACCAAAGTGTTTGTTACGTTGAAGTAAACATGAATGTACTTCGATCACCAACTGGAAGCGGCGCGAACTTTGAGCGTAATGGTTCTCAACCACAGATGGAGGTAATCTGTGTTCTCAACCAAACCTATCAAACATGCTTAGTGCATCAATCTCCGAACCCTCTACGATTACTTTCCGTAATAAACGCAAGCATTACGACGGCGAATATGATCAGGTCTAAGGTCAACTGTCTGATAGTCAGAAAAAAATTAAAGAACTGATGAGTGATGACACTCTTAACTTCATCAATAAATGCGCAGAAAGAGAGTACTAATTAAATCAGGAATGACATCGCAATGATAAGATATGAAATTCAAGACATCAGAGATGCTATTCGGTCGACTGAACAACGGATACCAGACCTAGCCACAAATCAAAGTAACATTCAAGACGAAATACAAATTCTCAAAAACTTTGCACACCAAGCTGGGGATAAAATTGTGTCTCTGGAGTCTAACGTAGAAAACTTAAAAAATCTACCAATCGATACATCAATAAAACCCTCCTATGAAGAAATACAGACTGAATTAAACGACCAAACCATGAGAAAGAAGAATATACTTACTGCTGGTATTCCTGAACCTCAGTCAACGGACGCCAAGGAACGTGTTGATCTAGAAAAAATTAAAGTAGTTGATGCTATTAAAAATTAACTCAAAGACGACCTTGAACCAAAAAATGTACTCATTGGAAGATAGAAGCCAGGAACGATTCCTCCAATAAAAGTTACTTTTGAGTCGGAAGAAACTGTAAAGCTTATTTTGCGCAACAAAAGCAACATAAAAGATAGTAAAATTTAAAAATTTGCTGATCAGACACCATTTCAGCAAAATCATCTAAAACATCTGAAAGACGAACTGAATCATACAACTGAAGAGGGAGAAGAAAATATATGTATTAAGCATATTAAAAATGTACCAAAAATTATCAAAACCTTACAAAAAAAGTTCGATGCATGAGTGACAAAGCAAATGAACATATCACTACTTACCAAATAACAAACAATTATGATAACCTTATAACTAATAAAAGTAAAAAAGTAAGGTAAAGTTACAGCCTATACACGTCCCACTCCTGGGTACAGGCCTCCCCTCATATCTGAGAGGGTTTTAGGGCAAGGAAGTGTCCGCCGCGTTGCTCCAATGCGTGTTGGCGAACTTCACATGTCTTCGAAATATTTTTTTCTTATTATTCAGACATACAGGTTTCCTCAGGATGTTTTACTTCACCGCCGAGCACGTGGTAAATCAGCACTTAAAATTGCAATTAACAATTTCATTGGTGCCGGCGGTGATCGAACCAGAAACCAGAAAAAAAACCGGCCAAGAGCGTGTCGGGCCACGTTCAGTGTAGGGTTCCGTAGTTTCCCGTCCGTCACAATAAGTGTTCCCACTTATGAGTTTAAAGGTGGGTATCCATTACGTTCGCCCATCCAATTCAAATGATTTTCCTAGAAAGTCTTTATAAAGTTCACTTCAGACTTTTTCATATTTTCTAAACTTATGGTTCAAAAGTTAGAGGGGGGAACACATTGTTTTTTACTTTTAGCGATTATTTCCGAAATTATTGACATTATCAAAAATGATTTTAGTAAACCCCTATTCATTTTTAAATACCTTTCCAACAATATATCACACGTTAGGGTTGAAATTAAAAATAATCACTTCCCACTTTACATATAGGGGGGCTACCCTAATAAAACATATTTTTATTTTACCACTTTGTCGGCGTGATTGATACACCTATTGGTACCAAATTTCAGCTTCTTCTAGTGCTAACGGTCACAGAGATTAAGCGAGGACGGACAGACGGACAGACAGACATGGCGAAACTATAAGGGTTCCTAGTTGACTACGGAACCCTAAAAAAAGAACCAGCAAGCGTTAACCATCTGAGCTACCACGGCTCTACTAATAAACAATCTTTAAAATTCTTATACGCAAATACTAGAAGCCTGGAAAATTCGACGAATTGAGATGTGTCATTGAATTTTTCAAATCTACGATACATGTGCTTATTCTTACTGAAACTTGGATTAAGTCTAATGATGAAACCAAGAGATTTCAATCACCCAGATATATTCACTACTATCAGCACAGACAAAATGTTATTGGCGGTAGAGTATCAATATTTGTCCACAATATTCTTAAACATAGCTATGTTGATGAACTCGACAAAGATGGAAACCATTTCTTGTGGATACACATAGAATAGAAATTTACATTAGTTATTGGTGCAGTATACAAGCCTGGTAGAACAAACGTTACCAACTTTCTAAACTCTTTCATTACAACTACATCATAGAATAAGAGCCGTAGTAGCTCGTTGTTTTCGGCGGAGGAACAGGCGGGGCTATACGTCAAATAGTCATCCATCCGATTTGGTTTTTTTACTTGAATCTTCGAGGTCTGTGTTCTATTATCAGATTCGCCGCAGTCATCGCTTATTAAAGTCTTAGCTTCTTCCAGAATTTGATTATACATTTGATTTGATCCTAATTATATAATTTCCTCTTCGGACTCACTTTATGATTGTATTTTTTTAATAGTATTTTATAGTATAGAGAGACAAACGAGCACACAGTCCACCTGATGGTAAGTGGTTGCTGTGGCCCATAGACATCTACATCTATCCTCGATTACGATCCAAAATGCAGATGCGTTGTCACCCGTGAGGCCTAAGATGGAATACCTCATTTCCAGTAAAAAGGGTCTCCGGTTCTCTACACTCACCATACGAAATACAGCAGCATTAAGCTACCATTTCACGCTGGTATTCTGTGAGAGCATGGTCCTCCCCGGTCGAGCCGACCCATTCATGCTACAACTATACGTCTAATATAACTGCCGCATGGCTCTACCACGTCTAAATATTATGGCGTCTTCCAATCCCGCGCTTTAGGTTTGCAAAGCTGTGTCTGCAGGTTGTAGCGTGGATAAGAATTTTTTGGCCACAACCATGGCTATTCGGAATTCTAGATTAAGCATGACTTTTTTAATACTTATACTCTTGGCGACGTCATCGCCGTTGAATCTGCCATTTTTAATTTCTTTCAAAGACTGCAAAATTGATGAATAATGATCGTATACTACTTTTGAAACTGCGAAATGTCCAGACCAGTGTTGTTCAGGAGTCGGTCAATCCTTTTTCCACCATATACTAAGGCAGCTATTTTGCCATGATGAAAGAATTCATGTAACATGATGCATTGGTCAAAAAATACACTAATGAAAGTCATTTCTGAGATAGTTCTGATACTATTAAGTGCAAGCGATGGTTATAGCAGTGTCCAATTTATTGTCTATTCTAGTCGCAAATCCTGAAACTTTCCCACTCATTATCCTTGCGCCATTATAGGATTGGCTAAGCGTACAATGTTGCGATGCGAGGGTTCAATGTTATTTTCCGTAAGTATATTTAACGTTAATTCCGTGAAAGTGGCTACATCAAGGTCTTAACGACTACTGAAGTCTTAAACATCAGCAACGACTCACTGATGACACCATCCTTGACATAACGTATTGCTAATGCAATATTATCGTAGGTATTTTTATCTCTCGTCCGATCTTCCATTAGAGTAAACAATTTCACGTAAGACAATGGAACTTCGTACTGCTTGAACCATTGTTTGAATTTCAGGTGAACGATATGCCGCGTTTTGTGGCATATGAGTAAGAAGCTTGTTCAAATTTGGATCTTTTATACATGTGTATACAAATAAATTCTGAAATAATCCTTGTTCTTTTTCTTCTTCTAAAATATAATTTCAACGCAATGCTAAATTAATGACAATTATAAATTTTATTACAACAATGATAGACTTCACGTAATACCTATATTTTTCGAATACTTTTTGATTTATTAACGTTACAACACTGCTAGATCTGTGGTCACGGGAGGACTAAGGTATTGACGTCCTGATGTCATAGTTAGCCCGGCTACCTTCAGTTCAGTGTAGCTGCAGCTAAAACATTAACTGAATTAAACTAAATTAACTTAGTTCTCGACAGTTTGCACTATTTTTCAAACCTCGTTACGATTGACTGACTGACTGATTTTAATTATTTTGTTGTTTAATTTTACTGATTAGAGGATCCCAGGCCAATATTACCTATACGTTCTTTTCTGTAGTAAATATAAGAAATCAGGAACAGCAATTACATCAGGAGTTTTCGTATCTGTATAAATTTTAAATGTATATTATTGCTTGTATATTATTTTCCAGCTGAGTTGATAGCCTCTGTTGGACGCGAGATAATATCTCTTTAAATCATTCATCGTTACTTAAAATAAATGTCAAATTTATACAAATTTTATAAGATGCTAATTTCTGAAAGATAAAGATATTTGAATCAACTTAGAGTCATGCATTCCATAGCAATCGGCTATGTAAAACGATTAAAGGATTAACGTTATTTAATCATTTGCGTAATCTTTACTTATTTTAAAGATATGAGTTTGATAAGTGATAAGAAATATCCATAATAAGTTAAATAAGGACAGTTAAATGCTAGAGTGAAATAGTGTACCTACATATTAGACAAGGTATGGGATGTATAAAGTTATTTGGATTTTCCAAAAGATAAAAAACTTTTGTTAAATCCAAATGTGTATGCCAAAGACCTATATATAACCATATGGTTATATTCTCTATGGTGTATGCCCTAAGCGTTCATTTTATACGTCAATTTTTATAAGTATTTTAAATACACACAAGTTTTTACAAATAACCTTATTACTATTACTTCTAATTTTACTATAATTTTATATCAAACGACAATAATAAATAGTTTGGAAAATCCAAAAGTGCACGATTAATAATGATCATATGATCGTGAAAAAATTTAGAAAAATAATCACAATCAACAATAGATAATATATATTTTTTTTAATTTTACTATGTTATTATTATTGTGATTTTTTTATTCTTGTTAATTGAAAATACTTTTAACAAATTTATCTTAAAACGATCAGAAATCAACTTTTTTATAGGCAAACGAGCGTACGGTTCACCTGATGTTAAGTGACTACCGCCGCCCATGATCAACCGCAACACCAGGGGGATTGCAGGTACGTTGCAGGCCCTTTAAAAAGGAGTAGGAGGAAAAGCTCTTTTTCTAAAAGTCCCTAGGTCGTATATATATAAAGAAAATATAAAGAGATGCAACATCTCTTCGCAGCGCCGGTGAAACGAACCGATCGGAAATCATTCGGTCGTCGACGATTCGAGCCGCTCCGCGCTGGATGCGGTCAAGTGGTAGGAGCTGGCACTGGGGAACCCCAGCCCAGATGTGGGAACAGTATTCCATGTGTGGCCGAACCTGCGCCTTGTAAAGTTGCAGGCGGTGTGCCGGCATGAAATACTACCGTACCGTACCGTACAGTACCGTAGAAAAGGTTAGAATCTCATTCAAGAAAAAATCAAATTGGCAGACAGCATTAAAAGAGCATGCAAAACTAAAAGAAAGTTACATCAGAAAATATTTAAATATAAGAAACAGGAATTAATACCGTATTATAAGAAATACTGCAAAATTTTAAAATCCGTTACACGTTTAGCAAAACAAAAATCAAATATAAAATTCATTAAAAATAGTAGAACAACAAACGTGCGTGCCTCATGCTGTTCTGCGGCTACTGGCGTCGTTTCTAGCTGACAGGAGCTTCTACGTCTGTGTCGAAGATGCTGAGTCCACAGCGAAACTAATTAGAGCCGGCGTACCACAGGGCAGCTATCTATTGCCGATTCTGTACGCGGCTTACACCAATGATATACCTGCACTGAAGGACAACCTACGCAAATGGGAAGACGGTGTAGAGTTGGCCGGACGCGGATGATAGCGCCTACTTTACATCGTCTAGAAGACCCCAAGTCGTCGCTGATAAAATGCAGCAACTGCTGGACCTGCTGCCGCCATGGCTGGATGAGTGGAGAATTGCCGTCAATGTTGGCAAGACTACCGCTCTGCTTACCCGCCACTTCAGAAACCTTCTACCGCCGCTGACGCTGAGAGGCCAGGAGATAGCGTATCAGAAGGCCGTAACCTACCTTGGATGTTGGATAGATAGGATGCTGCGCATGACTGCGCACGTCGATATTCTAGTCCCCAATGCCAGAGGTGCGCTACTTAGGACAAAACTAAAAATAAAAATCTATAAAATCTACATCAGACCTAGGATAACCTACGATTCACCAGCCTGGTACGCCCTCCTGAGTGAACGGCAGAGGCAGCGGCTGCAGGCACAGCAGAATCTTACAGTTCAGACCATCTTCGGTGCATATCGCTACGTCCGGACCGATATCATAACGGCCAACCTTAAGATAGCAACCATTAAGTGATTTGTAGCCCGGCTGGCGCGTGGCATGTACGACCGACCCTCATCTGGCACAACAACCTGGCACCTTTACATGCCAGGCCCTCAGGCGTGTCACCCAGAACTCCTCTCTATATAGATTAGAGAGTCGAAACCCACAATGAAGCAGAAAGGCCAACATCGTCTTTTAAAAACAGATAACCAACATATTTCTATAATTTAACCAACTATGGAAAATATTTAACCTACAAGGAAAATAACCACTTTAATCTAACAACGCCTTTATACAAGGCTCCCAGGACCGGCCCAATGTAGTGGGCCGTGATGAACGTCCTGGTAAAGGTGCCCACGGAGAAGACAACAAGATTGCAATTCGTTCGGGACAAGCTACAGTTTCCTGTTCTAAATTAAGAAAGACAAATAAATTAGGGAAAGTAAAGTGAAATTTATAAAAGTAGTGAAAGTTTCAATATCGCATCTCCAAGAGGAATTTAAGAACAATTGATGTTTCGTTTGAATAATCCTTCAGTGTTCACCCTAATAGTAAGGAAGTAAGGGAAAATACGGTCCATTGGGTACATGACTGACGTCAAGACCTGGAACATTCCATAAGGACCCGTAATCTTAGTCGTCAACCTTTATTTTGAGAGAGGGGTCAAGGTTTTGAGTTGAACATCTTACTCAGGGGTCACGCCTACTGCGTTGTCCCCGAACCCAACGTGGAGTGGTATAGGATAGGAGGTCAATAATTGGTTGATCACTGCTGCAGGGTGTGAGATGAAGAACGTAACTGCCTTTTCAGGCTCCATTAATATTCGGAAACTGTTACCGCGATCGAAATAGGTTCAGAAAACATTAATAATAGACATGTTTCAATAATACATTGAGGAAATGCATCGGTAATTTTAGTTGATTTTGACGTCATTGAAACCAGAATTTATATACTTTATTGAGTCTTTAACATTATAACAAACCGCTTGAAAAGCTTGACTAACAATCTTAAGCTACAATATAATTTTTAAATCTCATTAATTCACTTATAAGTTATAAAATTTTAAATATTTGTATAATCATTTTCTACTTTATCATAAAGTATTGATAAATCACGCACTCAGAGGGATTTTCATGAGAAATCGGAGTGAAAAGGAATTGATTCAATTCTCCTTGTCCCAAAAGGGAGGATTGAGGGCGGCGTCCCCACTTTTCCCACACCCTTTCTGAGTGTGCGGTACGTCAGCAGACTTCTACCTAACATATACACATTTATAATGGATTTGTTGGATTATTCTGTGCAATATAACTTCAATTTATAAAATGTTTGGAAAATCCAGTGCAAACTATAGGTATAAACAACATACATGCGTAAATATTTCGGTGAATAGGTATTTGTTTTAATGTTTTACCAGTTTTTCTACAGGTATACAGGTATAAGCGGAAGCCATTAGCCTTGAAAATTTAAGTGATAATTTGCTGGAAACATTTAATCCACCATCCTACCTAAATTTCCATTAAAAATTTAATTTTATAAGCTGCCTTTTCAATTAATGTCATAAATTTTAGTGACAAAATTTTTAAGTATTGTGTATGTATTATCTACTAAAAAAAAACAGAGGCATTTCGTAAAGTGGTACCACTTTTTAGTAAGTAAAGTTCACAGTATTGTGTATTAGCGTGTACTTTTGAAAGAATTGCTTTTGCATAGGAAAACTTAACGACCTCGGTAGTAAATATATATATATATATATATATATATATATATATATATATATATATATATATACATATACATATATACTAAGAGCCTATTCCTTTTTAAAAGGCCGGCAACGCATCTGCAATCCCCATGGTGTTGCAGCTGTTCATGAGCGGCGGTAGTCCCTTACCATCAGGTGAGCCGCATGCTCGTTTGCCCCCTCTCCTATAATTTTTTTTTATTGAGTACAAGTCAAACCATGAACAAAAACTACACATAATTACTTGAACTTGAAAAATATCGTTTTAGTTGGAACAAGATTCGAAAAGATGATATTTATTTTTTATAACTAATGTAATAACCTGTTATAAATAACGTACAACTGATAAAATGTAAAAAATGTATTCGATGTTGTTATTTTTCTCGGAAATAACTGTTACTGACTAACCTTCCTTAAATACGGAAGTCCCATTGAATGCCTACTCTAAAAATATAGTATACTTTGTCAGTTAACTAGGTTAATAAATTTATCTCATGGGTGGGAGCTCAGCTCTAGGGCTCATGCGCCGCGGTCAATCTTCTAAATGGAGTTTGTCTACATACTGTATAGTGAGGTTGGTCCTTCAGATTCAGATTATATCGTACAGTACTAGTATATAAAGCCGTGAGCTGTGGCGCGGCGGGCGTAGTGTGATTTAGACAGAGCAGACATCGCCAACGTGATTTCACTCGGCAAATATTGTTCTTTAAAGTAAATTATATTACACTTAACTTAAAACTACACATTAAATATTGATAGTTCATTACTTAACGCGTAAGTTTCATCAATACGGTGGGAATTTATTTGTAGAAGTACAAAGTATTTTGGTAAGTAATATATTATTTCTTCAAATTAATTAAAACATTCGCTTTAATTTAAAAATATTGTTTTATTTATAGTTAACTATAAATAAAACTGTAGTCGCAATTGTAGCTAATGTGGAAATACTTTAGATTTATATATTTTCATACCGTTTTCATTACCTAAGTATAATCAAGACATAAGATTATAAGTAATAAATCTACTTCTTTGTTAATCAGCCTTGAAAAATACTTGTTCCAAGTTGTCAACTTCGCTGACCGTGCGAATTTAAAGTAGAAATTCACTTTCAAACTCAATCAACAAGCCTTGACCTTACTTGTCAAGATACGATATCCTGATCAAAGATTACAAAGTGTAACTCTTGAAACTCTTTTTGCCACTATATTAACCACTATCACAGATTAAATAATGGTGCATACCTTTATTTAGATCTCTAGCATTATACCACAATTTTTATTTATCCTTGAATGTCATTATTTTGTTGATGTAGTGTATAATTGCGTAAGTGTACTTTTCTTTATTTTTAATAACAAGTACTCAACAACAGTTTTTTGCGTATAAGAGGTTGTCTTGAAAAATCGCGATGAGGCATCGACTATTATGTGTTTACTTCATGTAATGCCCCATTTTCTTTACTCTTGTCTAGTAAACAATAACGAATATTGTTATCTTAATTTTTCAGCCACTTAATAATAATGGTCACTCGTAAATTTTAAAATAAAATAATATATACCTATATTATAATAATCGCGTTAAAGAGAGAAGTGGACCTGATTACTGAGACGCATGATCCGAGTTCAAATTCTGACTGTAAAAAATATCTGAGGGTTGACTTTAAGTTTTTAAGTTAACTACCTTCTTCTTCTTAAGGTGCCGTCTCCTTGCGAAGGTTGGCAATCATTATAGGCATAATAATTTGAGATAATTAAACCCTAATCCTATAAAACCAGATAGGGTAGTTGAAAACGAAAATACTCGTAGCATATTATATAGACCTAAAACTATACGCTGGGATTTGTGTGAGCGACCTATTCCGTGGTTAAACTTGAATTCAGGCCCTGATAATTCTAAGATGTGCTTATTTATATCGGTTAAGTTAAGCTCGTAGTGAATATTTTACCAATACCAAATTACTAAAAGCAGCTGGAGGTAATGTTAAATAAAATACTTTTTTCATGTCTAGATGATTTGTTAATTAAATTTAATAGATGTGTTATTTTTTATATTTATCTATCGCTTCGCCATACTTATCATTTCACCTTGTATTTCTATGAGATTTCAGAAAATGCAAACAATTATCTTTAATATGGTCAATCAGCAATTGCAATCAAAAATGTAAACATTACTTTTTTCAATTTTTAATGTTTTTTTTTTTGTTACAAACTTGGTCGTACTTACAACATTAATTCAGACCTTAATGATTGTATAATTACTTCGCCAAAGCGAATAAGTTTTGACAGTGACAGTTCTATTAGATACAATGAAAATAAATATACATACATAATAAAGGATTTATTTGACCGATAACCTTTAACAAATAAACGTAAAGTCGAATTAAAATTAAATATATGTTAAATTAAATTTTAAGAACACTTAAAAAACACGCATTGATCACGAGCTGTGATGATTTTAGTGAAAATTATCCTGAGGATAATATTATTAATTCAGTGTATTTTTTAATAGTTTTCATATTTACAAGTCATTCCGACCGTCTACAAATTAGTGAAAATCATATTAAAAGTTTTCGTAACATAGATAGATAGGTAGATAACTCGCACCCCTAGCACGCTTAGAATTCTTAATAAAATCTGAAAAAGGAATATTTAAATTGTTATTTTATGTAAACATATTGCACATTTCTATAACATGAAATACACTAATGAGAGATGAGTGTTGTAAATCGAGTAGTCACACCGGTTATTTCTGACGTGTGGAGCGGAATGCGGGAATACCCTAACGTAAATGGTCGTTTATTAGCCTTTACGTGTGTGGTTTTCCATCGTGCAATTTTGAAACTTCTCAGTTATAACACCATTGTTTATATTTTAATACATACAATAATATATTAATCTTATCACTTCCGAGAATAATGCAGCTTTTATTTTTTGATTATAAATGACACTTTTACTTACGTAATGATTGTAAACAGTAGTAAACTTATTTTTATTTCAATATGATATCCTACCAACTTACCACGTATAGGTAGTACCTAAATGCAAGCACTTTGAAACTCCATTCTAAAAACTGATAATACTATGTTGTAGAAATTTGCATATTAATTTTTAGTATTAAGTTTCTAGTGTTTGTGTGTCAAAACTATTATTTAGATAAATATTAATACTAGCGGCTCGCTAGGGCGTTTCCGGGCTTTGCACGGATTGATCAATCAATTCTCTACCTTACTATTACTCTATTGGTTGGGTTCAATTTATTTTAAAACTTCATGGTTAAATGTACACATTTTTTGTTCTTAAATAGATTCTCCACATTTTCCTAGAGACCAACATGCCACCTATGGTACTGTTAGTTATTTTTAGAAGATAGATATATGCCGTCGCGGACGTTTTAAAACTTTTAAACAGGAACAATTGTGCCATAAATTATTTTCGTGCAACTTTAACTTTTGATGCAGCCCACGCCGTGGGTGCTCTCACGAGGCACGACTTTTCTGACTTAGTTAACGAATATCGTTATAACTTAATATATAAACATATATACTATATAGCCTATGCCCATCTAGAATAATGTGGTAAAAGTATTTTTCAAATAGGTGTGATGGTTGTGGTGGTGTTCTCTCTTTATAATTTTACGATAGATTTTCCGGGAAAAAATGTATCAAACTTTCTTTATATATTTCCGATATACACTATATATATATATATATATATATATATATATATATATATATACCTATTAATTAAAACAAAACGAGGTGTACCTTGTACTTTTGATGTCTTTCTAATAGTATAGGGTTTTGGGGTTTTTAAAACATAAAATTAATTGCAAATATTAGTTTTCAATAATAGAAACTGAAAAAAATTATATATTACGCGGAAAAACTAAACAAATTAACATGAACTTTCTTTAAAATGTTTTAGACACAAAAATTAAATAAAAAATTAAATGCACCGCGTTTTTAATTTCCTCTTTGTGCTTCAGTATCTGATGTAGTCCTCCTCATTTTCTAACATATTCTAGAAGCCTAGTGGGCATACTTTCTATCACATGCTTCAGTGTTTCTTGGGGGATTTGTTCCCAACACAATTTTAGCACGTTTATGTCGTCTTTTATTTTGCACCGGCTGATTTTCTGACGCCTCTTTTCCGCAGATCCTACTTAATATGTTCTATCGTGTTAAAATGCTATACGATCTTCTTCTATGGCATCTCTGCTCACTCTACTAGTGTGAGCGCGATAGATTGATCGTGCATCAGCTTAAATTCTGCACCTCCTTGATATACAAATGGCACCATGTGAGGTCTTATTACCTCCTCGACGTATCGCGTTATGTTTTTACTATACCTCGGTTGAGAATTACTAGATTTGTTATTACCTCCGCTACGTTAATACCTCCCCACACCATTATATTGATCGCTTTTGTGATGCGGGCATCCAAAAATCCCTTAACTTCTCGCCTCCATACCCTTATCTTTTTTATACAATAAGGGTGACAAACGAGCACACAGTCCACCTGATTGTAAATGGATGCTATGGCCCATAGACATCTGCGTTGCCACCCCTGAGGACTAAGACGGAATGCCTCGTAACCAGTAAAAAGGGTCTCTGGATCTCTACACTCACCATATGAAACATAGCAGTATTAAGCTGCTATTTTATGCTGGTATTCTCACCTTATACGACGTTTATCACTAAAAAGTTCTCATTCCTCTCAACTATAAAACGCACTGTTCTCCAATCACTTACGTTTCAACCCACATGTTGTCTTGTAAATGTTAGTTGAATAGTCCGATGAGCACTTGCCAGTGGAAATCGTACGACTCGTCTTCTGAAGAAATACTGATCTTCATACAAACTTTTTTTGAATGTTTTGACACTAAGAACGCGCGTTACTATATAATGGCTCAAACGCGAACGCAAGGAGCGGGAGGTGACGGTGCACTCTGTGCGCGAAATTTAGCGTTTGTTGCGGTCTCTGAAGCCTGATCCCTGTAACAGCCAAATCACTGAAACACTGCATCATCTTTTTGACTTTTAAAGTCAGTCATTGTTAAAAGACATACTAATACCAACAGATATCAGTTTGAAAAAATGAGGAGACTCTGGAATTTACGATTATCTGTTTCTAATATCATATTCATGCAACTGTATTGAACATTAAAAGCGATTAATGATAAATGTCATTATAGCAATTTTATTTATAACAATGATTTTTTATGGAAATGTAATAAATAGATGAATTTAAATGTACTTTAAACACAAAATTCTTCTTAAGGTCGTTATTCTTAACGCAATATCGCGTGCACTTATTGCGTTACCTTGGCCGTAAGGATTAAATGATTCTAAGTTCTTTATATTTCAGAAATATAGTCGTAATTGATACAATTATTCTATATTCAGTTTGAAATAAAGTTACTGCATTTTGACTCAATTCTGTCTTAAGTACATATTTTTACTGATATATAAAAGTTAATCTTGTGTATACAATATGTTCAGCAGTAGACTTTGATAGATTGTAATGATTGCAATATTACATACAATAGAGCATATCGTCGAATAACGAGTCGGTTGAATGAACAGGAAAAACGTTTTAATGCGTTAGGTCACGCGTAGAATTAGTTTTGCGAAAAAATAATTTTTGAATTTAACTCTGGCCATTTATTTATTTTGCAAAAGGAATACTAAGCGATTTTACATATTAAGTAAAAATACGAATGTTTCAATTTTAAATTTCCCATCACGTTTTTTTACATGTTAAATAAATAAAATATTGCGGAATAACCAACTGCATACTATACTCCAATGGTTTAAGTGTTGAATTACAGTACATAATAACATATTACATAAATGGATTTAAGCGTGTTCCATTGAAAAATTAATCAGCATTGGGAGAATTTTCCCGATTATTTATTACGATTTCAAATGTCTCATTCAATTCTGAATTTAGGTAATTGAAGAGAAGGCGAATTACGTATGAAGAGATTTTACACGAATATATTCGAGAGAAGAGGATAAGTAGTTTCGCTATGGATGCCGCACAACCTTACCAATGCTCAGAAGCAGACCCGCATCGAATAGTGCCGTGACATGATTACTAAATTTGTAGGAGGCTCGTCTTGACGTGATTACAGCATTATCACAGCTGTATCTTGGATTTATCAATACGATCCAGAAACGAGTAAATTTTGTTTTTGAGTAAGTTTCAAAATGACAAGGTGAAGTGAAGCGATCGAAAAACGCAACGAAGATTTTGGTCGCTAGTTTTTTTTTTCACTTTGACCTGGTAACTGGTGGTGGACGATGTAAGAATATTTAGTACCTTATATCATCCCGTAGGTGTCGTGAGAGGCGAGAGAGGAAAACAAATCAGGAGATTAGGCAGCAGCGTCTTCCTAAGAACTAAAAATAAAATAAATTTTCAAAGTGTGGCAACTATGACAAATATGAGGCAATAATATGATGGAGCCCTATGTTCAGCATTAAAATTAAATAGGCTGTAACGGTAACGGTGACGTGGTATCTGGTGCTAATTTCTTTACAAATTTGAAGAAATCGAATGGTAAGCCAGATGTTTGCCAGAAGAGTTCACCGCTGTAAATAACAAGTAACCGGACAAAAGACGCCGCAGGCTACTGCTCCAGAACCTTAAAGCACCCGCACAAGCATGCAGATCAAGCAGACTGGTCACATAAAACTCAATCAAAACTCAAAAACGTACGAGGGCGACACTGAAAGTTTTTAGAACTGGCCACTTATAAACGATATAATAAAAAAATAAGTACAAATTTTGAAAATGGAACTCATTGCCATTATATATACTGTATATGTATTTTATTAATTTGTCATTAGTTTGGCGGCAAATTAAAAATTGTCTGTGTTACTTCAGCATGAATTTAACGTGATGAGAAAATTTTCGTACAATGATTTTGTATGAATTTCGATGTCATTTAAGTCTTAAAGGCCTTTCACGAAGCCCCATCTTGTGCGACTGTTTACAACTGGTTTAATGAGTATAAACGTGGTCGCACTAATCTCACCGATGATCTGCGTGAAAGATGGCTTCTACGGCGATGACTGAAGATAACATCAGTGTTGTACGGCGTATGATAGAGACTGACAAAAGAGTGACTTATTAGCAGATTCGGACAAGCTTAGGCATCATTAGGAGTCAAATACACAAAATCGTCAATGAACATTTAGCGGTCAGGAAGCTTTGTGCCCGGTGGATACCTCATAATTTGACACAGGCCCAAAAACTCCGTCGTGCTGATTAGTGTCGTGAAATGGTTCAAAGATTTAACGGAGGTGACTCAAACGCTGTGTTTGACGTACTTACGGTTAACGAAAGTTGGATTTATTGTTATGAATCTGAAACTAAGAGACAGTCTGCTGTCTGGGTGTTTCCTTCCGAGGAGTTGCCAACTAAAGTGAAGAGAAGTCGAAGTGTGGCGAACGCAACAATTTTTTGCCAGAGGTTCGAAAAACAGTTACTGCAGAGTGGTACACTAACAATTGTTTGCCATTTGTCTTGGAAAAAGTGCGGGAGAAACGACCTCGCAGTAAGTCCTACTTTGTCATCACCATGACAACGCCTCGTCGCACACCGCCAAGCAAACAATCGACTACTTGTCGACGTCAGACCTGGAATTACTGGGTCACCCGCCCTATAGCCCCGACTCGCTCCTTCCGATTTTGATTTATTACTGAAAATAAAAGAAAAACTTCGAGGAAAAGTTTCATGGACGCCGAGGAAGCAGTGGCTGCGTTTCAAAATGCCATCGAAGAGACCGCTAAGAACGAGTGGACAAAGTACTTTTCTCAATGGTTCCATTGGACACTATTTTGAAAAGATATAATAAAACTAATAACTTGCTAGTTTGTTCAGTTTTTGATTTTCTAAGAACTTTCAGTGTCGCCCTCGTATTGGCATCCTAGCTTTATTAATTTAAAAGACTGTTTCAAGTGCATTTCTCACTTTTTAACACGCTTTTATTAGCTTTCTTTCACCAACTTGTAGACGACCAATTGACTTGAAATTTGCACACGTATTAAGGAGCAATGACAATACAATAATTTAATAACTTTATCCTTTGTTCTGACCAAGATCACCGAGATAAAATAAAATGCTCATGATTAATGCGTGTTATTTTAGTTTTTTGTTTTTAATTCAATCATTTTATTATTTAAAATATATATATTAGCTATGTCTTAGATTTACCGCACTTATTCGACGATTTTATAAACTTGCACACGTATATCTCGCCAGTCTACGTTTAATTGCGTTCGCTAATTCTAAAATCTTTGTTTACTATTTCCAGTCACTTTCAGCTCGGCCATCAGCCGCCCGTATAGCGCACACTTCATATCATTCATCATCATAATTACACCATCTAAGTAGTTTTTAAACATTATATAACCCATAAGTTAAATTTGACTAGAATCTTTGTAACTTATTATAATATCCAAATTATTATAATAATATACGCAAATTCATAGATAATTCGGATGAGGGATACCAAAATGAGTCGTTACCTACTCCAACTATCTTACGGCACAGAATAAATAATAGTACTACGTACTTAGGATCTGGAAATTATTTTTGCCACTTAAGCTTTTCACAATCCAGAACATCTTTTAAAAGTCCACGTGACAGATATTTGCTGGAGGACATTATTCCTGAGTGCCTTTAACTCTAAGTTTGGTTTAGACCAAACTGCACTTGTGGTATTTGCCAACCCACGAAATAGTTTTACTAGACCTTTCTTATCTCGATAGCCTTAGGCTTATTACTCAAATTTTTTATGCATAAATTACTATTCGCCATTACATAGTTAGGGATCTACGAGGTCTGGCTATAACCTCGCACGAGTTGCTTACCACGGATTGTGCAACTGCCGCGCACTAGTACACAACACCGCTCTCTCGGCATTGAACAAGGACAAGCTATATCCATTGCCTAACTATGTTTAGTAGATCCCTTACTTTAGTATGTTAATCATTCTTAACAGAATAATCTTAAATTAAATAATGACTACATTGTTAATGTAAAATTAATGTAACCACTTTTGTAGCTTTTATATTTAAATGTGATGCATAAAATTTATAGCCATTTTAGCATATTGCGCGCACGGATAAGTGTGTGTATAAAAAAGGAGTGTAGAAAGCTAAAATTTAAAAATAATATGCGATACAAACATATTGAATAAAATAAAATAAAATATATATATAATGCATTTTTTACCGTTCACAATGTCAATGTCAAACCCATTGTCGCTTGAAAAATAACGTCCTATGTCATATGTGATCGGTCGTTCGTGCTACCAATGTCGCAGAATTACAAGAATTTAATAAGTACCTATGTAATTACTCTGAAATTTATAGCCAATGTTAAACACTTAGTGGTCTGAGAAAGTCAAACATTTCCACAGAGTAGAAATTGTCGCCAAAGAATTTTAAATTTTTTGTGTTATTTAAAAATAGCTTGTGTTGTATAGAATGTGTCAAGGCAAAAAGTAGTTTATTTTGTTTTATGTACCTATATTAGATTCATGTGTTTATATACTGGTATTAATGTGCAGTTGAGTGAAATACAGCTTGTTTATTAAACAAACCTAAAAATTTACCCCCCCCCCCCCAAAAAAAAAAAATATTATAAAAAAAAATTTAATTTAAAAAAAAAAAACAAAAAATAAAATAAAAAAAAAAAAAAAAAAAAAAAAAAAAAAAAAAAAAAAACAAAAAAAAAACAACCAAACCACACCCACACACCAAAACCACACCCCCAAAACCCAACCCACAAAAAAAAAAAAAAAAAAAAAAAAGCAACTAAAAAACAAAAAAAAAAAAAAAAAAAAAATGAATTATGTATGTTGGGATTTCGAACACCAGGCGACCTATATAATCCATAAGACTATCTTAGACTGACACAATATTAGATATAATATTTAATGTGCATATCTAATATCGTCAGACCAGTGACGAGAAGGAGCGTCAAAAGATGCGAGATGCCTGGTGCTGCGATCGCCAATCTACCTGCCGAGCGAGGCGATTATGGCCAATCCTCCCTTTATTAGTAAATGCCATGCCCATGTCAAATAAAATCCTTCGCAGCCCGAAATTATACTTTGGTTCCCATACTCTTCGGCGGCGCTGCGGTTGACGTAGGTTAGAGGTGTACATTAAAAAAAATCTCATTCCTCATAGCTATTCTCTACTTATGTAGGATAAGTGTTATGCAATTTTTTAGATTACAATAACTTTCCAAAGTAAGTTCGTCACTATAGATTTCGGATTATGCGTAAAAGAATCCGTAAAGTTATATGTAGTCACACTACATTCACAGACGAAAGTAAAAGACTTAAAATTTTAATAAATTCAAAACCTTGAAATGAATTAAAAAGTTTTTAAAGTTGCATATTTCATTTCTTTTAGGTGTAAGCCATGACGGAGCAGGATGTGAAACTGAATTTCGGTTTGTTACAAAAAGATAATAGAAATATTTTATATTCTTTTTGTGTTCGTTTGTGTGCCTATGTCGAATTTTGGTTTTACAAATCTTATGTTGCAAATTCGTATATATTTTTCGTAATAAATGTCTTATTACTAAATAAGTCTTCTAACGGTATTTCTATATTTAAAAATTAAACATATTTACAGAACTTACTTATTTTTTACAGAAATCATGGAGGCGGGCGATTTTAAGGATTTTGCTAAAGCGATGACAGATTACGTTGCAGAATATTTGGAAAATATAAGAGATAGGTAGGTAATCATTAACTAAAACTTTTTACTTGGCTAATATTTTTAAGAAGACGTAATTTACATAAAAGGTTCATACAAACTATCTATGAGCGAATACCTATCAAATAATTCTAGTAGTACCTACTGTAGAATGCATTTGTACAAATGTCTTTCTACACTTAATAGCTATACCTATTTACTTTTATTTTGTTTTATGTTGTAAGTGTATATTATTGTATTTCCATTATAAACCTATTCAACAAATTAAAATAATAGTATTTTAAATTCGATATGTCATGGTAACATCGAAATTAACGTTTAGCAGAGTCCAACTTCGATCAAAATTCGTGTAGAACGCATCATCTAAATATTTTACGAGTATGTAAATATGTAAGCGTAATCATGCATTATACTACTATTATTTATTCTGATTATACTGAGCGGAGATCACGTCACAGAAATAGGAGACAGAATATCATATTTTAATGGAGAGGGCCTACTCTACTATCCACCATCATTTTTGCAAAGTAGGTATCGTAAAATATAAAATCGGTAAAAGTCTTTATATTTTTTGAAAATAAATGATTCTATGTATGTTTATGCTTATCCCTACCCTTAGCCACTCTCCCATAAAAAAATCTATTTTCAGAAGCTTTAGTATAAAATATCCGTAATTTATTTTTACAGTTACTTACTTTATGTATTACGAAAGAACTATTTTTAAAATGAAAATTTTTGACATTTGTAGTCTCATCATTTAAAAAGTCAAGGCTTTTCTTTCACAAAATGCTGCCCCCTAAAACCTGCCGACCTCAACCAAGGCCAATATCAAATCGTTGAAGTGATCAAAATCAAAAGTGTAATTTTTATCGAGTTTAGAAAAACCGGGCAAATATAATTGATGTTTACGATTACGACTTTAAAGAAGTCAATTATATTATGTGAGCTTTTATATCATATGACGTAGTTACTGGGTATATAATTATAAAATTTCAATTCCTTGAATCAAGTTTTTGTTAAGTCGTAATGGACGCACGGTCAGTTCAAGTAATCATTCCAATTTCGATATATCGGAAATCCAATATTTTAAAAAATATCAAGAGTTTTCGTTTGAACTGATCAGTTGTGGAATGACCGTGTATGGCGACCATAACAGTGTGCTACAGCCTGTGTTCATTTTTAATATAAAACTAAAATGACAAACACTTGCAACCAACTCTACTCGTAGCCAACTTCAAACAATGCAAACTACAGATGCGTTATCATCTCTGAGAGCTAAGATAAAATGCCTCACAACTAATTCTTATTAATTAATACAACTAAAATCTAAAATGTTTTAAATTACGTTTTAAAGAATTCAGAGTTTAATAACTATTACAATAATAGCTTAACGTAGCAATAATCAGCCCTAATAATTAATTTCGTAATATTTTGATTTAAATGAAATAGTAGCTTAATGGTGCTGTATTTCGTATGGTGAGTGTAGAGAATCGGAGACCCTTTTTACTGGAAACGAGGCATTCCATCTTATAATATGCATGTCCTCACGGATGACATGCATCTGCATTTTATTTCGTAATTGAGGATAGATGTAGATGACTATAGGCCACAGCAACCACTTACCATCAGGTGGACTGTGTGCTCGTTTCTCACCCTACCCTATAAAAAAAGGATAGCATTTGTAGATTTACGATCGATTTATTCGCCTTTTTTTATATAAAAGGAGTCAATAGCTCTTTAATTAAGACCGAAGTTACTATAGTCGAAAAGCGTTGAACGCTTTTATGAGGCATGGGGCTCGAGCTCAAGGGCATGAAAGATCCATCACAACTCTATTAGCTCATCTCTTATACATCTACAAGTGTGGGATCCTTACCGGGTTATGAGTTTTTTAAATATAATATTAATATATTTTCAGACAAGTCGTACCCTCTGTTAAACCTGGCTACTTACGACCACTAGTTCCCGAACAGGCTCCTCAACAGCCTGAGCCCTGGACCGCGGTCATGGCAGACATAGAGCGTGTTGTTATGTCCGGAGTAACACACTGGCACTCCCCTCGGTTCCACGCATACTTCCCTACTGCGAATTCGTATCCAGCTATTGTAGCTGATATGCTGAGCGGTGCAATCGCTTGTATTGGCTTTACATGGGTAAGATATTGTTTCAAAACTGTTTTCTTAAAGTTTTCGGCTGGCCATAACTCTCTGGCCATGGCTCTACTAATGAGGGGTGTTCCATGAACTGTAACATTTTGCTAGCGGATTGGTACTACCAAATACATACCTACAAAACATACATATTTTAAGTCATTTAAGTTGTAATTATTTCGACATTCTATAAGTATAGTGGTTTTATTATTCTAATGGTCGCCACACACGGTCAGTTCAACTGATCATTCCAACTGATCAGTTCAAACTAAAACTGTTGATATTTTTTTAAATATTGGGTGTTCGATATATCAGTAAATAAGCTTATATATAAAACTGCGATATTGATATATTTATAATTGTCGATATATCAAAAATTCAATATTTTAAAAAATATCAACAACTTTAGTTTGAACCGATCAGTTGGAATGATCGGTTGAACGTGTGTGGCGTCCATAAGAGTTGTGTGCATTGTTCAGGCGTAAAATAAGCATTTATTTGACACTATTCTGAATTCTATCTGGGAGATAAAATTATTACAAAATATTTATAAAAATCAAATCCAATGTCAGTATTATTTTGAATTTTTAATGGGAATGAGACAAGTAAAACCGGTCACGCATTTTTGTATTTGATTATGTATATACTTATAATTTGTATCGTTTTAATTTCTAAACAGAAAAGTTCATTTCTACTTTCAAAATAGAAATACCTAAATAACTTTTATTTTAAGAACCTTAAGAGGATAGAGTAAGTCAGCTCAAATTCTAATTTCGCCCCCACTTCCCCGCGCGTCGTATGCTATGTACCGATATATTTGTAATCACACTAATACTGTAAGTAGAAAGGTCGTTAGACACTTATTTCATTAGGTTTATCATATTTATGCCTGTTTCTTAACGCCAAGCCAGCCGCTTCTTATTTTTATCACGGTTATTTCCCATTTTAATTTTACGTCGTACTGTTGCGTCATGTATATTCTGATCGTAAGCGACACAACTTCTCCCTTCAAAAGCCTAAGCGATACTAACGGTGCGACAGGAATCAAGCTCAAGACGCCGATAGTTTAGGTAATTTCTTTTTTACAGTGAAAATAATGGTATTTTAAAAAAAGTAAATAACATAAGCACTGCTTTATAGTTAGTTCAGTTAGTATGCAAAGTTTCATGATCTTATTTAAAGTATTTTATGAATAACAGCGGTTTATTGTTTATTTTGGAGGTAACTTTGGATTTTTTTTTCTATCAAGAAAATTTTACGAAATCGTGTTTTCGTCTAACATAATCATTAACATTAATCCTCAACTTTACCATATATTTATTTCAAAATTAATGCTGCAATATTTTCGGCATAACGAAGGATCTTGCTAAGCCATTTGACATTATATTTCCCTTTAATAATCTGACTCAAGCGGAATAATATTAAAAATTTATTTCTTGTGGTATCTGAATCTGACTCATACGAGATACTATTCATCACAATTGTGGACCTAAAATGTATATAGATGAGGTCTAGACCTCTAGATATTTTGGGCCCTTATAAAGGAATGCTTTTGCAATAGCTAATTCCCTTGCCTATACGAATATATATAAATTTTGGTGCCAAGTGATAAAATTGATTCAATAAATAACATTTTTAATAGCATTTAGAATGCACACGCTAATATAATCGGTATTCAGATATCAATGCGAATACAGTTTGAGTCAGAACTAATCAATGTTAATGTGTATATACATACTTTCTTTCTGGTCTCCTATACTTTATTCATGTTTTAGTATCTATAAAGCATTGATGTGAAACACCGTTCATATTAAACGATATTTCAATGTTTCGTTATGTGAGGTTTAGTTAAAAATATCATTGGTTATGAACGACAAATTCATATTTTGTATACAATACCTTAAGTATTATTTACAACCATATTTTCAAATGGGTACATGTATTTACACTACTCAAATACAATAAGAAGTACTAACGTCCATTCATTATATCGATCGAAAAAAAGGGACAGCCCGTCTGTCAGCAAAGGAATACTTAGTAAAGATGTTCTGCTAAATGGTTTTGTAACAATAGTGCAGTAAGTGTACACGCAAATACAGAGTCGCTTTACTGACTGACATACTTGTGACATAGTGTAATTGCAAACACTTTACTTACTTACAATCCACAAACACAACATATCCGAATTCGAAAATGTACCTACATTAAAAGTTCTTGCTAATGTTGGTTTCTGTTATGATTCGAACCATAGACTCTCTAGGAATAAACGATCATACCTTATATAAATGTAGTTAGCACCAATAAATTGAGTATAACAATTCCTTCACGTAATACAAAAATGCATATTACCTATATAATTTGAATGAATTTATTTTTAGATTGCAAGCCCCGCATGCACGGAACTGGAGGTAGTAATGCTGGATTGGTTGGGTCAGATGCTCGGTCTACCCGAACAATTTTTAGCCCGATCTGGAGGCGAAGCCGGTGGTGTCATTCAAGGCACCGCAAGTGAGGCTACGTTAGTTGCCCTACTCGGGGCGAAGGCGCGCATAATGCAACGAGTAAAAGAACAACACCCTGAATGGACTGACACTGAAATTATATCCAAACTCGTGGCTTATTGTAACAGTAAGCATGCTTTAGATTGATAAATTTTAGTCATAAGAGTTAATAACAAAATTTTAATATATTAAGGACAATAAACAAGCACATAATCCACCTGATGTTAAGTGAATGCTATGACCCATAGACAAATACAATCTATCATCGAATAGGGATCAAAATGCTGATGCGTTTTCACCCCTAAGAACTGAGATGGAGCACCTCGTTACCAGTGAAAAGAGTCTCCGGTTCTCTAGCTCACCATACAAAACTCAGCAGCATTATCGTGCTGTTTCATGCTGGTATTCTGAGAAAGTGTGGTCCTACCTCGGTAGAGCCAACCCACTGGTGCTGCAGCTGTGTGCTGTGTAACTAGCATAAAATCATAAAATGCTGACAGATCCATGTGGCGCTTTAAGCTCCATCTTGAAAAAACGTTTTAAGCCGATATCTCGAAAACTATGCACTTTAAGGCAAAAGTTATAGAGTATATTATTGTAGAGAATAAAATTTTGCATATGTTCCCAGTAAACTTTTTGGTAAAACTTACCGTTTACGATTTATGGCCCATTTAATGAACCGGTTCTTCTGTCGCGGCCAATAACTCTTGGAATATTATATTAATACATTGAAGTAATATGTACTTACGTACTAGAACAGCTATGTCAAACAAAAAATGTGCGCTACTCTGTGTTCGCGCGGTTGTTTTTTTTATCATAGAATAAACATAGGTATATAATAGGAAAGGTAATAGTAGATTGTATTGTTGAATAGGTAAATTATATCGAGAACAATATTTTATTTTGTTTATTATATTTGCTTATTTAATATAATATTACATAATAATATATCACAATTACATTTTAATGATCTTTTTATCTGAATATTTTAAAAGGTATCTAGGTCAAATATAAAATACATACTAAATGTATGTTTGACAAAACTTATTAATATAACATTTAAATTACAAATATATTTATTTAAATTAGAATAAAAGTCGTTCATAAATGCTGGGCACGCGAGATTTAAAAATGGACGAATTTATACCACTTTGACTTTGATGTGGAAACCTAAAAATAAAATAAAAGAATAGTAAGCAGATTTAAACATGAAAAATTTTGGCAAATTATAATAACTTATATATATTTATACAAAAAAAATGTGTATAATAATATATTCGTCCTATACTTAAGTACCCACAGAAATGACGCATCTGAACATATTAATTTCATAATCTATATTCCATGTCACGAGATGGCTTCTTAGAAATAATTTGTTTTATTATTAATCTATAATACGTTTTTATTAATCTTATTAACCGATGAAAATTAATTCCTTGGTTTTTACTGATATTTCTTGAATTATTTGTGCAATATCTAAGCACACACGACGGCATATTTTTATCAAGAGATATTTTTAAATCAACACAACACGTGTCAACTCTACAAACGCCTAGCGAGTGACTGATTAAAGTGCGGTGTATGCACCGCGGTTGAGTGGAACAGAGTAGCTGAATGCAGTGTCGCCCCTCTAGTACGTAGTACATAGTAGCTCAATGTATTAATAAAACTTTTTTTCTAATGTCCATACTTTTTGAGTTATAGGACGTTTAATGTTGGACTACCGGGCGTAAAGTTGAAAATGTCAAGATTAGCTTGCTGCATTCGCATAGCTGCCGCGTCACCCGCCGAGCGTCGTGAAATTTTCAACTTTACGCCCGGTAGTCGAACATTAAACGTCCTATAACTCAAAATGTATGGACATTAGAAAAAAAGATTGAAACAAAAGTTGTAGAGAATAAACTGATCTTTAAAAATAGATAAATGCATTTATTGATTAATCTAATATTTCAAGAGTTATTAGCCGCGATAGAAAAACCGGTTCAATAAATGGGCCATAAATCGTAAACGGTAAGTTTTACAAAAAAGTTTACTGAAAATAAAAGATGAGAAATTTTATTTTCTATAATAATGGTTTCTATAACTTTTGCCTCAAAGTGCATACTTTCCGAGATATCGGCTGAAAACGTTTTTTCAAGATGACGCTTGAAGCGCCACCTGTTTCTGGCAGCATTTTGTAATTTTATGCTCGATAAGTGATGCTAAACCTTATAAAAAATAAAAATTGGATCGGAAATTTAGTGCAAAGTTGACCATAAAAACGTCTCTTTTTAACTGGCCTACATTATTCTAAATGATTTTTCTTCGCACACACATATTCGTAAACCCCTACGCGCAGTAAAGTACCTTGTTGCGCGTCTTCAAGCGCCCTTCTACCGTTGCACCGTAAGTACTAAATTAATAAGTCATTGAATTGGGAGACAATGTGGCACTTTCGTTACTGAAAATAGGTTCGAAACATGAACTTTCGATCAAGGTACGATAAAAATTTATTTTTATTTTTGTATATACTCTTCTTGTCTACACACTCCTTTTTCTAACTCTATACACTTCTCCCAGCGATACTCCAATCTCTCTAACCCGTCCAAATAGTACTCGGCGTTTTTATTTGACGAAAATCTCTGTCCTCTGAGTGCAATTTTTATATGAGGGCACAAAAAAATCGTTTGGGGTTAGATCTGTGAGTAAGGCGGATGGTCAAGCAGTTCAAACCGTAGTTCGTGGATTTTAATCGATACTTGCTTTCGATACCTTGTTCTTTTAGGGCCTGTCATATCTTATTGTGAAATAAAGAGTCGAAAGCCTTGCTGTAGTCTATATATGCCATGTAATATAATTGGTTGTATTCGTGTGATTTTTCTATAATCTGCCTCATAACACGTATATGGTCCAATACTGAGTAGCCTCTACGAAAACTTGCTTGCTCGTCTGGTTGGTTGTCGTCTAATTTTCTTTCCAGTCTTCTTAGCAGTATTTTCGCAAATATTTTGTATAAGTTGGACATAAGGCTGATCGGGCGATAATTACCTATATTAAGTTTATCACATATTATCATAGTTCGTGGATTTTCGCCATGGCAACCGCTGAGGTGTGTGACGGCGTGTTGTCAGAGTGAAACAGGATTTTCTTTTTCTGCAAATGTGGTCTTTTTTCCACAATTTCTACCTTCAGTTTGTCAAGTAATGATGGGTAGTTTTCTCCTGTAATGGTTTTTCCTTTTTTTAAGATAAAGTTATTGCTTTTTTGGAGCCGGTTCCCCCTTTTCTAATCCACTGTTTTGACTGTATTTTGTTTTCGGGCGTATAACGGTGTATCCAAATTTCATTTACAGTAATAAGTCGGCCCCAAAACTCGGATTTATTGCGCCTAAACTACGCCAAAATAGCGTTGGAAATGTTCAATCGAACACGTTATTGGTCTAATGTGAGAAAACGTTGCACCCAATGCGCTTAAAACTTTCTCATGCCTAAATTTTAATTTAATATGTGACAAACACGTTCTTTGGACATTTTCATAGCCTCTGCTCTCTCTCTCACTTTAATTCGGCAGTCATTTAGCACCATTTGGTGAACTTTAGCCAAGTTATCGTCTGTGATTGCAGTTTTTGGACGTTCCAAACGTTCATCGTCTCCCATGCTCTCACGGCTAATTTTTAATTCAACTGCCCAAAACTTCACTATGGTAAATGGTGGTGCAGAGTCAGGGGCGGATCGTGAATTTGTGGGGTTTATATAATATGAGTTAATGTCTGTTACAAATTGTTGTATACAAACAGCAACCGTACGACATTATTGCTAAATAAATTGACAGGCTATGTGTGTGGTTACGATATATAAATTATAACTTGCCTTTTCGTTAACTTAACTTTTTTTCTAAAATCCCTTCTATTGAGAAGGGATTTTAGAAAAAAGTTTAAAATTCACACAAAAAACAGTACCAATCCTAGTTGAATAACAAGGTCTTTCCAATAATTGGTCATTTTCATTTATTAATGAAATACCAATTTGAAGAAGATCTGTTTTGTTCTTTGTATTTCTTTATTCAAGCTGAATATATGTTTTGGATCTTTATTTTGTAAATCAGTCATTTTAATGAGAGGATGTTTATAAAATCATTTAACAATAGTGGTCACAAGCCTATGTCACCATATTTCTCAAACCCAAACTTAATATTTTCTTAATTTATTTCCGCCTAGGTATTTACCTACCTATTACCTTCCTTTTGCTCATTCCTCCCTCATTCATTTTTCTCATTTTTATGTTCTAATATAAAAAAGTTTTAATTATTGCACATTTATTTCTTTCTGTTTCTCAATCTAACTCTAATTTTCATTTTCCAGCTCCACTTTTAAATAACTTCTAAAGGCAACCTTCTAAAGGACATATTGTAAAATAAGATTTTGATATTTTTCTGAAAATAAACAAAGAACTTGATAATTTTCTGAAAATAAACAGAGCGAGCGAAATTATTAATGTAATATTGTCCCTCACGTCACATTTTAATAAGTACTTTGTAATGAGTGTAGCAATTCGCAAATTATCATTAAAATCGATTCTACATTTGGAATTGAAAAAAAAAATAAAAACAAAAAACATGATTTATAACAATATTAATAGTAATAATTTATTTATTGCAGTTCACAAAGTATAAAGTTGTTACAATACATTTACAGAGCATGTAGACAGCCTGTTCGGGTGTAGCAAATTAAGAAACAGTTTAAAACCATATTTTAAACCTTTTTTTCTTCATTATATCTACTATTGTTTTCAATGGAAGCTGGGTGCCGTTGGATACCAAGGGCCCCCAGCTTACTTAATGGCTTTGTAAATCCGACCCTGTGCAGAGTTCCCATACACAGAGTCCAACTCATCTTTGATTTGCGAAGGCTTATTGCCTTTGTGGCACTCCTTGGGGGAGGCCTATGTTCAGCAGTTGACTTGTGAAGGGTTGTAATGATGATGATAACGATGATCGCCATTCAAAAACAAAAATTTTATGACAACACGATACTCAATTTTTTCCTTTTTTCACAAAAACAATCGCATCGACTCACACAAACGACTGTCACATAACAAATATATATTCAGTAATCTATGCATAACAACAGGTATGTTATATACACTCAAATAATAATACATACAAATGGCTGAAATTTTGGTGCCTAACTGTCAAAAGAATCACAACTACATTCACTATATAGCTTTTATTGACAAGTGCTGCCATCTTCACGTTGAGGTCGAAAATTTCCTCCGCCGCGTCAAGTTATTCTACCTTCCAAGCAGTTTACTCATTATTCTTATAATAGATGTCACTTTTATTAATTTGATTTAAATTAAGAAAAAGAAAAATTTACTTTTTAAGTGAGAGAGACTGTGAGAATGACATTGCACAACCAATTACAAATCGCAAACTATACAGAAAGCTAGATTCACGAACATTATTCCTAAGTCCTAACTATCGATTAAGAAATGTGATGTGAGTGGAAGAGACATTCCCAGATTTATCGATGTTTTCATTTATTTTTGTAGTTTTTATAAGCGTTAACGATTGTAGAAAGTCAACTTATCTGAACCCCACTGAGCTACTTAGTGCTACCCGTGCGGAGCCGGACCAATTCTCTAATGACACTCAAAGAAAAACACATTATAGCCAGTGGCGGCCCTAGCCAAATTTTTAGGTGGTGCGAGATCCCTTAGAGCCGCCCCTCTAAATACAAAACCTTAGTGTTCCTATACTATACAGTTGCCTTTTCGTGATTTTAAATAGTATTAGACCTATCAAATATCTGCATATCTTCGGGATCGGGATGGCTTAAAAATTGGATCTATCTGTAATTAGAGCAGATGAAAAGGCTCGGTACTGTTTCAAAATTCTAACAAAATTTTCAAACAATATGACACCTTTGGTAAATCCATAGATTCGGGCTACATAGCTTTTTTAGTGCGTGCAGCTATGCAGGTCTAGAATTACCAATATCACTTCGACCTAAAAGATCTATTGTGATCGCTGCTATGACTATAGTTCACTGCTAAGCCCTATGTCTTCAATGAATGTGAGTTGCTTAGCTGTGAGCAATTTCACTTCTGGGCGAAGTTGATAGTTTGCCAGATGTGTTACGTTTGGGTATTAAGGGTCCTCAATCAGTCAGAATGTGCAGAGGTGTGGCTTCCGTTAAGGAACAAAACCGGCACATCCTTCTGTTGCTTAGTCCCAAAATTGCCATTTGTTTTTTAAGACGCACGTTAGAAGGGACGTTAGGCACAGAAGTGCAGTAATAGCTGCTCCAGGCGATGATCGCATCGCTCCATTTGCCATTAGGCAGGCAGTCCTTTGTAGACTATTTAGTCTGTCTTTTGGTTGGCTTTATCACAACAGACAATGGAGGCGTAGGTGATAATCAGCCTCACTATGCTGCTGTACAGCCATAAGATCAGCCATGGGACGCAAGCCCCAGTTGTTCCCAACCATATGACTGCACGTATCTGAACCAATTTTAGGCGTGTGATATACGTTGCTAAGGTAGAGAGTTCCACGTTGGTTTTTGGTCGATTGTTACGCCCAAATACTTAACTTTTTCGGTAATTAAAAAATCAGGCGTTACTTTGCGGAGATCCATTATATTGAAGTTGTTAGAACTTAATTTGCTCATTTCCGCGTAATAAAATACAATGATGTGTCCTGCTCAATCTGAAAGGCACCCACCTCTCACCCTCCCTCAGTTGCGTGCACTATCCCCTTCACCACCACATCCAGCACCACCACAGTCAGCACCATCACTCCCAGCGCCACCCGTCCCTGTACCACCACAATAGGAACGACACACTACCCTTGATAATACGACATGTGTTTTGCCTCTACATAAGGCATCCTCAGATGAAATAATCGTTACGTGTTTCAGCTCTACACCAAGAGACGAAATACGTATCGTATTATCGAGAGTGGTGTGTCATCCCTAGTGTGATGGTGTTGGGTGTGGTGGTGAGACTGAGAGTGTTGGTACTGAGAATAGTGGTACTGAGAATGGTGGTACTAGGAGTGGTGGCTACGGGGATAGTGCATGCAATTGAGGGGGGTTGGTAGGTGCTCTTCAGACTGGGTAGGACACATCTTTTTTATTCCGCAAACATGAGCAAAATAAATTAAGTTTTAATAACTTTAACTACATGAATTGAAAAATGCCTGAGAATAATGAGTCAAATTCTGGTATGAACACCTATAATTTTCCTGCCATGTTCGCATCATCATTATTGTTCCCTTGACCTCGACAATAATTCATGTCTATGTCAAACACTTGTACAATTGCATCAAGAAAGAGGCCAGTAACTCCTTTTTCCGAAGTCACTAACTGGTTTGCAACAAAATACTCGTGCTTTGACTTCCTAATTCTTAATTATTGATAAGAGTGAGATAATTGGTAACCGGTGCCCGGTGGTAGCGTTTCGATTGATTTGGGCCTCCCCCCGATAACGGCGCCCGGCGCGATCGCTCCGCTCGCACCGCCATAGGGCCGCCACTGGATATAGCCAAAATGTTACTTAAGTATACAGGGTTATTTTGCAAAATACGCCCAAATTTGCAGGGAAGGCTTAAAATAAGTAATATAGGCGAATGGTAAGAAATCTCTAAAATTCTGTCCTTCTTTTATAACTGATTTGTCATTCACAAATATCTAACGCCTATTTTACTGCACACGCTCATACGGGGCCGCACATAAATCACAATTGATTTGGAATAATTTTAAATAAAAGTACAAACCTTATGTACTCGTATCTTTAAAAAATTCGAAACCTAAATATTAAATTTAGTTACTCCCTTTAAAAATTAACCCTGTATAATTCTTGAACAAAAAAGGAAGATGAAATGCGGGAGCACGAGATAAAGAATTCGTCAGTTTTTCATAAGTCAGAGTTGCATTTTTCTCTCTTGGTTGTCCTTGTCTGACTCGGTCGTTTAGGCCGCAACAGCAATATTTTTGCTAAAAACCTATTCTTTAAATGTTTTTCCGTCCGATACCTTATTAACAATTTCAGTATCAACGGGACACGAACCCGACTTTTGCGTAGGTACTATGAAACTAAAGACGGCTGCCCTGAACTTATATATAACAGTTTATTCATTACTTATTATATTATTTTTGTAACGTGGTAAAAAAAAAGAAAAACAACTTTTACAACATGATGTTGAGAACTCTATTAGTTGGAAGGGAGACCAATGTTTTGTTATCATGTTATATTTTCCTATCATAAATTTTGCTTTTTTTTAAGAGCAAGCCCATTCGTCGGTTGAACGGGCTGGTCTTTTGGGGGGAGTGAAGATGCGCGCTTTGAAGCCTGATAATAAGAGACGACTACGTGGCGACATCTTGCAGGAAGCTATGGATGAAGACATTAAGAAGGGACTTATACCTTTTTATGTGAGTTTCTTTTGTCATTATCATTCATAACAGTTTCCGAGACATTAATTTTAAAAATTTTGCTAATAACTTCAATTTTTAAAATTTTATCTAAAAGCCAATTGAACGCATTTTTGTTTCATTTGACTCATTTTATTATATGAATTGACTTTAGTATCCTTACATCCTTACTAAAGCGGTAAACAAAACATGCGATAGTTAAAGTCGTTAACAGAATTAAAATCGCTGATATATTTATTACATATACTAAAAAAAATATGCTAGGGTTTTTAGTTATTTATCTAACAAACATTTTATTTAATTTTAGGTTGTAGCCACACTTGGAACCACATCATCGTGTACGTTTGATGCTCTTGACGAAATAGGCGACGTTTGCATGTCTCGAAACATTTGGCTACATGTTGATGCTGCCTACGCTGGCTCAGCTTTCATTTGTCCAGAATACCGTTATCTTATGAAAGGTGTAGAAAAAGCGGATTCTTTCAATTTCAACCCGCATAAATGGATGCTTGTTAACTTCGATTGTTCAGCGATGTGGCTTAAACAACCCCGGTGGATTGTCGACGCGTTTAATGTTGATCCATTGTATTTAAAACATGACCAGCAAGGTTCAGCACCGGATTATCGCCATTGGCAAATTCCATTGGGGCGTCGTTTCAGAGCATTAAAATTATGGTTTGTACTGAGATTATACGGCGTTGAAAACCTACAGAAGCACATCAGGAAGCACATTGCGCTTGCTCACCTCTTTGAAAAGTTATGTACATCTGACGAAAGATTTGAAATAGTTGAAGAAGTGACTATGGGACTTGTTTGCTTTAGACTGAAAGGAAGTAACGAGATTAACGAAGAATTGTTGAGGCGCATAAACGGCCGAGGAAAAATTCATCTGGTACCTTCTAAGATTGACGATGTTTATTTCTTAAGATTAGCCATTTGTTCGCGTTTCTCTGAAGAAAGTGATATTCATATATCGTGGGAAGAAGTGAAAATCTCTGCCGACGAAGTACTAGCTCAAAAGTAAGCTAAACAGTCTACAGTTTTGCCACTTAAGAACAAGTACTGCTATTCAATGTTATAGCAAAATATGCAATCTAATAGAGTTGGACCACTTAATCTGTTTTAAAAATAAAATTATGTGTATAACGAATAACAATAATAATTATTATATCTGCTAATTATATAAGATGTTATAAACGCTATTTAAAAATGTTTACATACTTAGTAAGCGTAGATGTTGATTTAAAAATAACTTTATTAGAATAAACTTATTCAGATCGTTTATGCTAACAATATTAATAGATAGATACTTATAGTATTTTACTTTAAAAAATATTGAACCAATTATTTTTATATTGTTTATAAACGCCTAGTTTTAAAATAAACGATACTAAATAAAGTTAATATTAAGATTATCTATTTTTGATTTATTGTCATTATCGTAGTTGTACAAAATAATTTAATGAAGTTTTTAAACATTTGAGTTTATTCATTAATTTATTATAATTTATCTTAAACCATGTTTCTATTTTTTTACTTGGATTTACCACATTAAACTAATTAAGTATAAGTAATTCAATCTTATGATTAGATACATTTACATGCATGATTTATAAAGACATTAGGTAAAAACTTTCAGTCATATAATCTTAAAATTTACTTGACAGTAACAGAAGTTTAGTTATTTAAAGTTTAGTGAAATCGCATCATTATCAAGTTTATAGTTCAGTATTAATTTTAGTTAAGCTTAAGGCTTTTATCTTTGTTGCTGAATCTTGTCCTAATTTAAGGTTCGTGAAGTTTAGGTATCTATGTATATATTAAGTTGCTGTGGTCCATTTAACAATGTTTTAATATTAAGTAATAATATAAGTATATGAAATATCCTTATGTTCTATGTATGACTATCAAAGTATTTGTGTTAGAATACGAATCACACTTGAAAGTAGTATAGTACCTACCTAGTAGTCAAAAAGGATGTTATCTATTAGTAGTAGTAAACTAGTAGAGACTATGTTTACCTGATATTTAGAAAATATTATTTGCTGTGATGTATACCTATTTATTGTTATAGGTGGTTATAAATAAACTATTTATACTACAATTCATTGTTTCTTTAATAAATCTGATGTACCTACCTACTTTGTTACATAATATATTATGCATGCAAAATATCTTTAACTTTATTCAAGGATGAAACTGATACTAGCACTATCATTTATTCTGTGCTGATACCTACCGACAAAGAGTGTAAAGCCCCATTTACATTCAGCCACTGCCACTGCTCCTCGCGCTGCCGGCAATACTTCCCTAAATACTGCCGTAGCAAGATCGCGGGAAGTGTGTATGGGGCATAATGCCCCATTTACATTCAGCTCGTTTGGGCAGGGCAGTGAGCAGGGCAGTGAGCAGGGCAGTATGTAAACAGGCTACTCGCGCTGACACTGCCGCTGCCGCTGACACTGCCCGAAATGTCGGTTTTTCGTGCGGAAGTCAAAGGACGGGCAGCGCGAGCGGCAGTGAGTGTTCACATTCAGCTCCATCGCTCACTTTGCGCCAAGCGCCTGGATGAACGGACGTGCGTGCCGTCCTGTTATTAAATAAATACGATCTACCAAAATGCCTTTCGAGTGGATTAATGAAAATACAATAAAGTTTTTAGAACTGCTGGAATCAGAAAAAACTATATGGGATTTCAACGATAAAAACCACAATTCATCATCTTCTACGAATACGAATTTTCTTTTTGAGTTAACATAGTACCTATGTACATAATTAATTATAAATTCGTCAAATTTATTATATTAATATAAAATTTAGTTTAAGGAATTAATGAACATTGACATTTTATTTCTAAAAACGATTAGTAACTCATATTGATTATTTATTAATTAAAATGTAAAATAAGTTAAAAGGTAATATTTGCATAATAGCCTGAGATTTTTAAATTATAATTTTATTGTAATTAAAATTACGAATTAGTTTATACTGAAGTGTAATTAATAAAATAATAATAGCTTAACTAATCTCATATAATATTTAATATTATTTATGTAACAATAATATAATTCAATTAGTAATTTATGAACAATTTATTGTATAAGAATTCAAATAGAGTGGATCTGTATAAGTATTTAATTGTACATAATATTCGAATTCAAAAAGAATGTGTGTACCTAACTTTTAAGCAACATCGGGTTTGTGTAATTAGCTGTATTTCATATCATTTTTCCATGCCAATTATGGCAAAACATGTCAGTTCCACGTCATTGATCATCTTATGTACCATGTTTTTAAGCAAATAAATTTTCTATCTATCTATCTATCTTCTTTTGAACTTGATATCTTTTTAAATTATTAACATAATTTTGTATTGCAAGAAGACACAGCGCGGACGCTGTAATTATTTCGACGTCCGCCATAGTCGAAAGCCGAAAGCGATGTGAGTGGTAGGGCAGAGTGTGAATACACACTTCCCGCGATCTTGCTACGGCAGTATTTAGGGGAAGTATTGCCGGCAGCGCGAGGAGCAGTGGCAGTGGCTGAATGTAATGCCCCATTTACATTCAGCCCGTTTGGGCAGGGAAGTGAGCAGGGCAGTGAGCAGGGCACTATGTAAACAGGCTACTCGCGCTGACACTGCCGCTGCCGCTGACACTGCCCGAAATGTCGGTTTTTCGTGCGGAAGTCAAAGGACGGGCAGCGCGAGCGGCAGTGTGTGTTCACATTCAGCTCCATCGCTCACTTCGCGACAAGCGCCTGGATGAACGGACGTGCGGGCCGTCCTGTTATTAAATAAATACGATCTACCAAAATGCCTTTCGAGTGGATTAATGAAAATACAATAAAGTTTTTAGAACTGCTGGAATCAGAAAAAACTATATGGGATTTCAACGATAAAAACCACAATTCATCATCTTCTACGAATACGAATTTTCTTTTTGAGTTAACATAGTACCTATGTACATAATTAATTATAAATTCGTCAAATTTATTATATTAATATAAAATTTAGTTTAAGGAATTAATGAACATTGACATTTTATTTCTAAAAACGATTAGTAACTCATATTGATTATTTATTAATTAAAATGTAAAATAAGTTAAAAGGTAATATTTGCATAATAGCCTGAGATTTTTAAATTATAATTTTATTGTAATTAAAATTACGAATTAGTTTATACTGAAGTGTAATTAATAAAATAATAATAGCTTAACTAATCTCATATAATATTTAATATTATTTATGTAACAATAATATAATAATTCAATTAATAATTTATGAACAATTTACTGTATAAGAATTCAAATAGAGTGGATCTGTATAAGTATTTAATTGTACATAATATTTGAATTCAAAAAAGAATGTGTGTACCTAACTTTTAAGCCACATCGGGTTTGTGTAATTAGCTGTATTTCATATCATTTTTCCATGCCAATTATGGCAAAACATGTCAGTTCCACGTCATTGATCATCTTATGTACCATGTTTTTAAGCAAATAAATTTTCTATCTATCTATCTATCTTCTTTTGAACTTGATATCTTTTTAAATTATTAACATAATTTTGTATTGCAAGAAGACACAGCGCGGACGCTGTAATTATTTCGACGTCCGCCATAGTCGAAAGCCGAAAGCGATGTGAGTGGTAGGGCAGAGTGTGAATACACACTTCCCGCGATCCTGCTACGGCAATATTTAGGGAAGTATTGCCGGCAGCGCGAGGAGCAGTGGCAGTGGCTGAATGTAAATGGGGCTTAAATGGGGCTATAGACTGCGCGCTACGTACATATAATAATAATAATAAACTTTATTAGCATAATTACATTCCTTTCCTTTACAATAAGCTTTTTTACGATACGTTTAAAATAAGCTATGTACAAATTTTTTAAGTTGCTTTCTTCAGTTACTGCCGGCTCTACTAGGCCGAGCCTGTATCACAGACGGCAGTTCCTTCCTCCATGGCACAAAATATATTATATCACTAAATTTAACTTATAATCACCAAACCAAAACACAATAACAGTAACGACAACAACCTACGATTCCGTGTGGTGTTAGTAAGTACTACGACAAAGCAATGTAGGTAACTGAAATATTAAATGATATCATCACTCAACGTGGACTCCATATAAGGAGTCCGCAGGTCTTCATGAAAGGTAGAAATAATATCTATTTAGTTCAGTAATATCATATTACATTTATAGAAGACACCATTTTCGTGTCTCTACTTGGAACCACGTCACCCAAACCCTACCCCCTACCTATGTATTTACGTCATAAATACTTTATATAAATCTCCTTCAAATCATTAGAGTTGATTTGTAAACTGCATCAGTGAGTTTATTGTCCCAACTTTACAGCGAAACCATGCTCAACTTCTTGATGCGCACTCAAGCACACAAACATCTTTCTTTATTGAACTGTAAAATTCACTGCAGGGCGCTCACATGTGCACTTAACAGCACGTTGTGTAATTATTTGATGATGATTATGTTGGTGACTAATTATGTGCGTGAGTGCGTGTTCTTAAAATAATTTTAACATACGCGCCGTCGTTTTTCTTTGTTGATCTTAGGAAATAATAATATGGAAAAATATTTGAAATTAGCACATTATGCAGTAGGTAGTTATATTTTATAGTTGAATTCACAGAGTAATTTAATATACACCTTAAAGTTTAATTAAATCTAGATTACTCATTTAAAGTACAAAAATGAATATTGTCCGAAACTGATAGAAACTCTTGAATAACTCAAATAAAATGTTGGCCATTTAAAAAGTATAAAAAAAGATAGTTATTAGTCTGTAATGGCATAAGCTGTCTTTTTAGTAAATATATCAAAATCTCTGAAAATTTTCCGAAATCGTCAGTGAGTTTATAAAATGTATTATAAGGGTTAAAGTTGTGATGAAACCTTTGAAAAACTATCATTATGAAATTATCACGTATGAAGTTGTTATGCTCAAAAAGTTTACTAACTACGTTAAACCGTTTACAAAAATTAAGCAAACTGATAGCGATTTCAACACCGCATCGAAAGATCAACAATGTTGTTAGTACTGTAAAGGAACAATGTATCCTTGATTCATGTAGCATTAAACCCAATTGTCGCGAACCACGGGTTATTATTGTAGGCGCCGGAATAGCGGGTCTCTCAGCGGCTCATCGACTAACTCAGTGTGGTGTATGTAATTTTCTTGTATTGGAGGCAAAAGAAAGGTAATCAAGAGTAGTATTCGTAATGCATAATTTTGTATTTTAACACTTATTCGCAATTCAACCGCAATTCGACATTTTTACAAAATTTACAAATTATTTACAGACCCGGAGGACGTATTCATTCATGTTGGCTTGGAGATGCGGTTATAGAATTGGGAGCAGAGTGGATCCATGGTGCTTGTTTGCCAAATTCTGTATACACTTTAGCTTCCCAGGATCGGTTGTTACAAGCACCCTTAAATCGTCTAGATGCGTCGCGCGGCTTATTTTGTACAAGTGAAGGTCGTGCTGTAGATTTACCTGTAACAATAACTGCATATCACACATTTCGGCAAATAGAACAGCAAGCTGCGAATTTATTTCGTCTAGGCGGTGAAAAGATGCATGGCACGTTGCTCAATTTTATTGGCCTACGTATACAGCAGGAGCTATACAACTTTCCTGAAGAACAAAGGTACGATGCCGCACGAGTTATGTTTGGCTTAACTAATATTTTAAGAAACAGATGCGGTGACGACTTGTCTCTTGTTAGTGCTGACCAATATGGCAGTTATATTGAGTTACCTGGTGGAAGTGTTCGCGTACCACTAGGTTATGTTGGAGTATTAGCTCCGTTACTGCGTGGGCTACCGGATAACAGTGTTAGATATAATAAAGCAGTGAATGTTATACGTTGGGGTCGTGGAAAAGCAGGCTCTGGTCGCGCGCTAGTTAAGTGTTGCGATGGGGAGGAAATCACGTCGGACTATGTTATAGTAACGATGTCGCTTGGATGTCTCAAATGCCAAGCTGACAAACTATTTTCTCCGCCACTTCCTTCATGCAAATTAGATGCAATATGCAATTTGGGATTTGGACTCAGCGATAAGGTATTTTTCGAATACAGAGAACCTTTTTGGGTGTGCAACGAGGGTAACTTAAAAATGGCTTGGTCAGCTGAAGAACTACAAAGCAGAAACGATTGGACTAGCGGTGTTTGTGCAGTTGACGAAATGCCTGGCAGCAAGCATGTGTTATGTGCTTGGCTTTCTGGACAAGAAGCAGCCAAAATGGAATTAATGGCTGATAATGATGTCGCTGAGGGATTGACCAAGCTCCTGCGTCGTTTTACTGGAAATCCTTGTCTCCCATATCCGCGTATGATGTTACGTTCTCGATGGGCCTCTGACCCACATTTCTGTGGAGCGTATTCTTATATGAGCTGTTGCTCTAGTGTAAGCCATCAGTGTGAACTAGGCACTCCAGTACCAGGACCCTGCGACCCACAGCCTCCGATATTGCTCTTTGCAGGCGAGGCAACAATTCCTGGATACTTCGCAACGGCACATGGCGCTAGACTAAGTGGAATTCGTGAAGCAGAACGCATAATACAATTAACTAAAAAATTCGAAGGTCCACCTCACTGATAAATTTAAATTGTTTTTTTTTTTATTTTACGTTGTCATTAAACTAATTTGAATGTATACAGTACAATAAATTGTTTGGATCTGAATCTTTTATTGTATATTTAATGGTTAACAATCATTCCGCTATTATATTTTTTGTAGTTTTTTCATACTTACTTTTTACGGATTTTTTGGTAAATAAATAAAACTTTTTAAGTAGGTACTAAATTTTATTTTTAAATAAATATACAATTAACTAAAAAATTCGAAGGTCCACCTCACTGATAACTTTAAATTATTGTTTTTTTTTTATTTCATGTTGTCATTAAACTAATTTGAATGTATACAGTACAATGAATTGTTTGGATCTGAATCTTTTATTGCATTAACTATTTACAATCATTCCGCTATTATATTTTTTGTAATTATTTTCATACTTACTTTTCACAGATTTTTTGGTAAATAAATAAGACTTTTTAAGTAGGTACGTACTAAATTTTATTGTTAATAAATATTATGAATCAAATTGGTAAACTAGTTTCTTTATTATATTAAAACTATCATGCACACAATTGGCTGCAATAAAATTGGCACAAGCATGTCACAGGCAAAACGTTAATCCTCTAAGGAAACTACCATCGTTATCAGCAGCTGAACATAAGTCTTCAAACTTCAAATGAATTCTATTGCTGGTAAACAATGTGTCCCTACATTGGATTCCATATGAAAATGAGTAATATCTGTCGTGCTTTGGCCAATGGAAACATATTTTATACCAATTATCTTTTTTTATAAGACATGGCCACTTGAATTGTATATTAATACTGGAATCATACTCTACTTTATCTTTAAAATTGTAATGTGCAATAATACTGTTGTCAGATTCACATTGCAAAGAAATTAAGATATGTTCATAGTACATTTTAGGTGTATAGTGACAATAATTCAACACCGGTGCCATTTGAGATGGTATATTGACATTATTTATGATTATGGATTTATTAGTTGTTAACCTGCACTGAATAAAGTTATTATTTGAATCTATAATTATGGGAGTAGCTGATCGAACTGGGCTGCGATGACAAATATGCCACTGCATTTCTAATGACTGTCTTGGAACTGTAATTAGACTAAGTGAATCAGGTATCTTTAATACTTGTTTGTTTAATACTTGTTTTATGTTCTCACTTTCATGTGGTAAAAGTAAGTTTTTATCATCTAAAATAATTTCATCTATATCACTTATGGACAGTGTAAAAAATCGTAATAATTTTAAAAAGTCATTCTGAACTAATACTTCACGTCTGTTTTTGAAGTTTACAGATATATTATTAGCTTCACAGTAATTCACAGTCCAATCAAAAACAAACTTTATTAAGTCTTTTTCCGATATATTCATATCATTACTTGTAAGAATCTTCTGAAGACAAAAACTTGAAATTACTTTTTTATTTTCTTGAAGCAGGAATTTCGCATATTTACAGAATAACTGAATTGAAGATGAAAGTAATTGTTTGTCTTGCATATAATCAGGATAGTTCAAAATAGTTATTACATTATCAATGCTTACATTTGACTGTACATATTCGATGCATACTTCTGACAAGTGTTCAAGTAAGTATTTTCTAGATACATATAATAATTCAAAAGCTTCTTCAATTGATGTAATATCTACTTTGTCAGTGTAAATATAATTAAGCAATTGTTGAAATATATTCGGTTCTATATCAGTTATAACAATATCACTATTACTTGAGAGGGGCCCATAAAACATAGCCTCAAATACTGGGCTGCTTATTCCTAGTATTAATTTATGAGCCTTAAATTTTTTTCCGCATACGGAAAATGTGCAGTCACTCCATTCATAAGATACTAAAAGTTTGTTGACACGGTCATACAAACTATTATTTCTTAATTCACCCATTTTGTAGCCCATCTGCAACAATAATAATTAAATACGTTAAAGTAGAGTTAATTTTGTTTTGACGAAGACTGGTCTATATAAACTATTCAAATAGAGATATGATCTTTAATTAGGAACATTATAACGGTGTGGTTATAATTATAATGTTCTCTTTGATAACGGTTCTACAAGTACCTGTTTTGCGTCCAAAGCCAACCTTGAACTTGATTGTGTCGAACAACCAATTTTGAAACCCGATTTTAAGGCGTAATGAAACCTAAAATGCATTCACATGCATATATATATATAACAGTAATAACATAATATATATACGAATATGAACCTTGATTTATTTAACGTAGGTATCACAGAATTAGCCTTAATATGTTAAATGCAAATAAACATAACTTTAAATACTCTTGTCTATGACTAACCACGGCCACGAGAATCGAGAATGTTTGCAAACAATCAATTCAAACAAAACAGTGCTACCAGATTTTATTTGAAAAATCTACCAAACAGAGCAGCAAAACTACCATATTCTGTACATAAATTATTGGGCACCTTTATTATTTCAATTTGTAATTGAATATTTTCGCCGACTTTTATGAAAATGTTCAATCGAACACATCAACTTTTACTTTGATACAGTAATGTTGCAGATATTCGTGTACGTTATTTTATTATCTACTATAAAGTATTTAATGTATACCTGGTGGTTAGAATTGATTATTTTATTAAGAAGATGGAAGAGATGATATACCTTCCTTAAAATCTGGTGTTGCGGTGCACCGTACAGTAGCTACTGAGACATTAGTCGCTTTTTTTTTTGCGCCCGAAGCAAATATGGGCAACCCTCCGGAAAGCGGGGGAGGAAGGCGGTGAATGCTCATAGCATACCACGCAGCCGGCTGCGTGGTTATGTGGAGACTTTTACCCACTAAACACCGCCTTTTAGGAATTGGCTTAACGATCTGACTAGAGATCTCTAAGCCGTATACGAACGCGACCCTCCTTGGCAGAAAGGAGGGCGCAATCTTTAGTCGCCTCAGCAGTCTGTTTATATACGTCTTTGATGTTTTTCGCAGTACCTAATTAATTTATGTAACTAAACACTGAATAGACCATTTGTCGGGATTGTCTATTTAACACCGAATTCTTCCTTCTCTGCATATTTAGGCCAAAATCTGAATACTCAAATTATAACAACAAAAATAATTAAAAACAAGAAATAACAAAAACAATTAATAACAAGGAATACGCAAACAACAATTAACAACGAGGTAACAAAAACAATTAACGAAAATAAGCTAATTAAAAAAGTTATCACTGAAATTATTGCTCTGAAGTGTACGGAAGCCGAATGATACGTTTCGAAACCAATAGACGACGAGAATCGACTGATGAACCAATCACGTTGAACGTCAGCGTGGTCAACGTCGTATCGACCAATAAAAAGTGTGCTCACGACTTATGTCGGCAATTATAAGCTTAAATACGATGCCATTTTATGAAATCCTTATGAGGTAGATATATTTTGATAGAGAGAATACAGCGCTAGCTATATAAGCAGAAATACGGTTATTACCGCTATCAATATCCGTCCTTATTTGTTACTGGTATGGTGGGTTTGGAGTTTGGACATTCTTTAGACTTAGGCGGACTATGCAGTTAATAACATACTACCTAGCAATCTTCCGTAATATAATAGATAGCCCGACGATATTAAGCAAAGTGGGGTTGTTCGCTCCGAAGCGGCTGGGCTGTGATGTGGAGGGGACGGTGGCACCGCGGCGGCAGCCGCGCCTTCTGTCGCAGCTGCGCCTTCTGTGGCAGCCGCCAGCGCGCACCAGGCGATACGGTGATTGGAGATATGCTCGCACATGATTTCGAGACTGACTTATTTGCTGTTAGCTTTGGGCAACTATGTAACAAAGCCCTTCTCATAACATATTAATTCAAACCTAACCTTTTTTTTTACATGGGGAAATGCCTACGGATACCCGCCTCGCGGGGGGCAAGGACGGGTTATGTCGGACTTGCACCGACTAAAACCCTATGGTGTTCCACCTTCGTCGCATATTGGCAGGGCCACGGGAACGCTTTCGCACACATCCGCGACCCCACCAGCGCCGGCCGCCACATGGCGGCGCCTTCTCGGAAGAGGACTACTCTCCCTTTCTCCTTCCCAGGTAAGGCGCACCAGAACACATGGCATGCCTTCCTCCATGGCCTTCAACTAAACCTGCGCAACGGACGCCCCAGTATCCGATGCGCGAAGGCTATGGGGTCAGGAAAAACGAGTACTCAGAGAAGCTCTAGCATTCCCGACCCCAGCGGCGGATCTGGTCTATGGTCTGCGGAGGGTAGGGAGAGCGGCGCCTCGCAATACCGACACTCTTCTCCCCCTGCAGCCCCACCACAACCGCATCAACGGTGCGGCCCCGCTTGAGTCGCGGAGGATAGGGCGAGTGGCGCATTGCCATACCAACACTTCTCTTCCTCCGCGACTCCACCTCGGCTGCAGCGGTAGGGGAGAGGACACTCGCCACATCCCACCAGCACACATCCGAAGTGGGCTTGTCAAGCCCAATCGGAGTGGCCTCCTCGGGCCGGCCCTCCACCTCGGGCCAGCTATGTGGGTTCCTCTTTGTTCACTGCGGTCGACCTAGCCACGGCTACTAAGCCCCCCCCCCCGCCACGACAAGGCGGGAACCAGTTCAGGGGGGAACCTAACCTAACCTAACCTTTTTTTTACGGGGGGAAATCCTCATGGACTGTCTCTGCCTGGGGAAAGGCGGAGGGGTGTGCCGGACTCTTACCGGCTAAAACCACTCCAGTGTCTCCTCACACGTGCGCGCGAGGGGCTGCGGAAATCCAAATTCTTCCATAGCCGCACACTAGTGCTGGCCCGGTGTGTACGGGCCTCGTCTCCAGCACGGTAGTGAGGTGTTCAACTATCCCGTGTATCACCTCGGAGGCGTACGCCGACACCAGCGCACGCCTCCGCCTCGGGTCCATCGAATAGGAGGGCGGGAGCTTCCCCAAGTCCCTCGCCCCTGGATCCATTCATAGGGACTGGAAAAGAGCGTTGTCCGCCCTTCTCCTGCGCCCGGTG